CCCCAAAACCCCAAAACCCCAAAACCCCATGTTTATGAAATTATATAGTAATGGAATTTATGAAATTAAGTTTAAATTCTATCAATTTATCTTGATTGTTATATTTCCTAGGTTTAATTCAGTATGTTTAAGACCAACTGGTGTTATTGAACCAGAATCCTGGCTTTGTTTTTTCCTTCCAAAAGGCACTGAGAGCTCATTATTTGTGTTGAACTTTTAAAGGCCTGCTCCTTTCTGAGCCATTAGCTTTTTAATAGTACTCATAAATTCTAGAGACCTGAATATTGATTCTACGCTGCCTAGTATTCTTTCAGCTCCATTTCCAAATCTTTCTTTGATTAACCAGAAATCAGTGTTATCGAGAGTGCTTATAGGTATTTCATGAACTAAAAAGTCAACTATATCTGCGACAATGAATAATATGACAGAGTCATCGTCCGTGTTATGAACTATCTCTATGTAGATAGGAGGCTCATCCTCATTGATTAAGAATAACTCAAAATGAATAGTCACATATTGCGAGTTTGCATAAATAAGCTGCATTATCTAAGCCATCTTAGAGTCTTCCTTGCCTAATACCCCAAAGGGAGTTGTAGATAATTTGCTTGTCCTACTTGCAGGAGAAATACTCACACGGGCTAAACTCTTTGGGGAGAAATGTGATGCTGATTGCTGTTTTTTAAGAGGAGAAATTTTGTTGAACTTATTTAGATGAGACTTTTCATTTTCCTTCTTTTTATTCAAATAAGCTTGAACTGCATCCTTCATCTTCTCCAAAGAGCTTGTGAAATATGCTGACTATCTTGTCGTGCTTTGATTCATTGATGGTTAGACTGTCTAAGAATCTCTCCTCGAATCAATTTAGCTTGATGAGATTTTGCTTCTCGGAGCTACTGTAGTAGTTGCGCTCATGCCACCCAGCATATAAATCGGAATTCTACATCCAGTAAATTGTGTTCTCTTGAATTTCACACCTTTTAGCTCTCTATCAAAGAGACACAATTTATTCATCTTTAGCTAAGTAGCTTTCGCTTTAAATGATAATGGAGAAGGGGAAAAAGGTTGTTAAAGGGTAGTATTAAGAAGATCTTAATCCCCTATTTAGAGTCTTCTCTTTACAAATCTCCCAAAGCATTTTTCAACAATAATGTTTCTACACCAAATAGACATTAGGAAGTCATCTACAATGATCTTTGAAGGAAAGTTTTGGGGTAAAATGTCCTTGAAGACTTTTTCTTCAGAAATATCAAGTGAGCAAATGCTTCTATTGAATTCTTTATCGGCAACTACAATGTTTAGAACCTCAGTTGAAGTTTTGAAACTGAAAGTCAAAGTGAGAATTCTGTAAGGACTTCCAGTTATATATTTAATCATGTTGCAAGGTGTTCTATAGTAAGAGTAGTCATCGGTTTTATTAATCCAGAGTTCATCAGCCTTGCCTTAATACACTTTAAGCTTAAGTTCTCCTACCTCAGTATAAAACTGTATCTTTTCTATTTCTTTCAGTGGCTCAAATCTTTCAGTTATTCCTTCAAACTTATGAGTAAAGACCTAAGTGGTTATTTGAGGGTAGATGTAGACTTGGCATTCAGCCTTTTACTTGATTACTTGGTACTTTACAAAGCACCTTATATTGTTTATTCGCATGTATTTGAACTCACTTTTGCCATGATTAATCTAACTTAGGTTTTATAGCTACTTAGCTAACTAAAACTAGGCTTAGTTTTTATCAATGATAGAGGACTTTTTCCTGTCAGTTTATTTTTGCTAGCTCCTTGGAGAATCACTTTCGAATAGTTTATTAGCCATTTGATGAAATCTAGCTAGCATCTTATCCTCATTTGCTGTTTATGCATCTTTAGTCTTGAGTATCTTGGTAATAGATTTGGTAACTTCCTAAGTTTTAAGTAGTTTACTTCTTATAGAATATTGGTCATTGAACTCATCTTTAAATCTGGATAGCTCTCGCATTATTTCGATGAAATGGGACTATGCCTTCGCATACTTATAGTTGATTCTTTCATACTCTTTCCTCCTAAGGTCAACCTCTTGCTTAAGTGTCTTGTTTTCTTGTTCAAACATATTTGCTTACTATTTGAACTCATGCTAATGTCTTGGGGGAGATTGCTTTTCTTCTTATTAAAACTTCTTTGGCGATAACTATGGCCTCTTCACTCTCACTCCTTAGTTATTAGAAATACTATTCTACTATTAATTTATCTGATTTCCACTCTTTGCTTCTTCATTAGTTATATTTGAACTGTTATTCTGTTTTATTTTGATTTACTAGAACTCCTAGGAAACTTTCTGATTTTTATTATTCATTTGCTGGTCATGCTATGATTTAGAATTATTTTAAAGCTAGTTTTGACTGTTATCCATGGCACTACTACTATCATCAGCTTTAATTTAATCATTGGGGTCATTGTGTTTGGTATAGTCAACTTGTCTAGTCTACCTCTAATTCTTAATAGCTTTAGGGTCTTTAATTTTCTTAGTGAACAGTGGTAAAAACTTTGGCATTTGTGCGAGATGCTAAACATTTTGAGACTTAGCTTGCGTCTCTTTATCAACATCATACTTGGTCAGCTCTTTCTCAATCTTCTTTCTCTTGTCATTCATGAAAGCATTGAGTTCAGCTATATTTATTTAGCCTTATGAGAAATTGACATCTTAATTGAAGTTTTGGTTTAGCATTTCAAATTTAATTATATAAATCAAATTGTTATTCTCAAATAATTATAGTAAGTCTTGGGGTTTTGGGGTTTTGGGGTTTTG